TTGGGTGCAGGTAAGTCGCGCTTCTTTGTGGTCTGTAATTTGTAGAGTGCTGCGACTTGAGAGTACAAGGCAAAGGCTTCTTTGACGCTATCCTTGGTACTTTCTGGGGCCTGTGTAGAGCTGGAGGCTGCTGGGGGGAGAGGAACGTCGGAGAATTGGCCTAAGTTGGGGTCTAAGCGGGCTTCTTTCCTAGGGCGTCTAGCTGTCATAAAGACTCGGAGTTTTTCTGGATTGTCCCTAAGTTCTCTCACTAACTCTACGTCCATATCTGGGGAGGCTTGAACTACTTCTGTTGCCGCCGGTGGTTGCGAGATCCCTGGAGGAGAAACTGGTGTGTCAGTCGGCGCCGAAGGGGCCATGGCTTGCTCGGGCGAGGGCGCCGCTGTCATGGCTAACTTAAGTACTCACTAACTTAAGTGAGCTGTGTGTGCCTCTATGGCGTGATGCTGTGTGACCCCTAGGGCAGTGAAGTGTGTGACGCGTATGTTCTGCTTGCGCAGAGCGCTTCGGCTCGCTATGCCCGGATTCGGGCGTGGGGCTTCCCCGGGCTGGGGACGTCCTGCTGCTCGAGCCTAGTGGTGGCCTAATACTAAGATGTATGCTTTTTGCCATTGCTTTAATCTCGAAGTGGTGCGTCAGTGCTAAGAAATTCACTTTGCTGTCGTTGCTTTGGTCTCGAAGTGGTGCCCCAGTGCCAAGATGTACGATGTGTTGCCGTTGCTTTGGTCTCGAAAAGCTGCCCTAGTGCTTAAGAGTACGATATGTTGCCGTTGCTTTGGTCTCGAAGTGGTGACCCAGTACTAAGCTGTACGATTTGATGCCGTTGCTGTGGTTTTGACGTGGTGCCCCCGCACTATGTACGATTTGTTGCCGTTGCTTTGGTCTTGAAGTGGCGCGCCAATGCTAAGATTCTCGACTTGTTTCCGTTTCTTTGGTCTCGAAGTGGTGCCGTCTCTAAAATGTAGATTTATTGCTAGGGTCCTCCCATGCTGAGATGTACGTTTTGCTGGCAATGCTTTGGCCTGGAAGTGCTGTCCCAATGCTAAGACACGAAATTTCGATGCTGCTTTGATCTCGAAGTGGTGCCTCATCACTGAGATGTGCAGTTGCCAGTGCTAGGAAGTACGATTTGTTGCCGTTGTTTTCGTCTCGAAGTGGTGCCTTTTTGCTGAAAAGTACGATTTGTTGCCGTCGCTTCGGTTCCGAGGTGGTACCCCTGCGCTAAGAAGTACGATTTGATGCCGTTGCATTTGTCTCCAAGTGGTGCCCTAATGATAAGATGGCACGGTTGGTTGCCGTTGCTTTGGTCTTGAAGTGGTGCCCCCGAGGCTAAGGTGTACGACTTCTTGCCGTTGCTTTGGCTTTGGAGTGGTGCCCCAGTGCTAAAAAGTACTATGTGTTGCCGTTGCTTTGGTCTCGAAGTGGTGCCCCGGAGCTAAGAATGGTTTCGAAGTGCTTCCCCAATGCTAAGACTTTCGATTTGGTGGCGTGTTTTCGGTTTTGAAGTGCTGCCCCCGTGCCAAGAAGTATGGTTTGCTGCCACTGCTTTGGTCTCAAAGTGGTGCCCCCGTACTATGATGTACGATTTGTTGCCTTCGCTTTGGTCTCGGGGTGGTGCCCCAGTGCTAAGATGTTCGATTTGTTGCCGTTGCTTTGGTGGCGAAGTGGTGCCCCAGTGTGCCCCAGTGCTGGAGATATACGGATTGCTTTCGTTGCTTTGTTCTCGAGGTGGTGCCCCAGAACCAAGATGTACGATGTGTTGCCGCTGCTGTAATCTGAAGTGGTGCCCCAGTGCTAAGACGTACGATTTTTTGCAGCTGCTTTGTCTTGATGTACGATTTGTTGCCGTGGCTTTGGTCTCGAAGTCGTGCCCCAGTGCGAAGAAGTACGAGATTTTGCCGTTGGTTTGGTCTCGAAGTGGTGCCATTGCGAAAATGAACCACTTGTTGCCCCTGCTTTGATGTCGAAGTGGTTCCCTATTATTAAAACGTCCGATTTGTTGCCGCTGTTTTCATGTCGAAGTGGTGCCCCAGTCCTAAGATGGAGGATTTGTTGCCGTGGCTTTGTCTCGAAGTGGTGCCCCATTCCTGAGAAGGACGATTTGTGCCGTTTCATTGGTATCGAAGTGATGTCCCAATGCTAACATGTACGACTTTTTGCCGTTGTCTTGGTCTCGAAGCGGGGCCCGTGTGCTAAAATGTACGGTTTGTTGCCGTTTCTTAGGTTTGCAACTGGTGCTCCAATGCTAAGATGTACGATTTGTTGCCGTTCCTTTGGTCTCGAAGTGGTGTCCCAATGCTAAGATGCACGGTTTGCTGTGGTCTTCCGCCATTAAGATGGTCCGATTGGTTGCCGTGGCTTTGGTCTGGAAGTCGTACCCGATTGCTAAGATGGACGATTTGTTGCCGATACTTGGGTCTCGAAGTGCTGCCCCCAATGCTTAGTGGTGCCCCACTGCTAAGATGTACGCGTCTTTGCCGTTGCTTCGGTGTGGAATTGGAGCCCCAGTGCTAAGACGTACGATTTGCAGCCGTTGCCTTGGTGTTGAAGTGGTGTCCCAGTTCTAAGATGGTCTCAAAGTGGTGCCCTAATACTAAGATGTATGCTTTTTGCCATTGCTTTAGTCTCGAAGTGGTGCGTCAGTGCTAAGAAATTCACTTTGCTGTCGTTGCTTTGGTCTCGAAGTGGTGCTCCAGTGCCAAGATGTACGATGTGTTTCCGTTGCTTTGGTGTCGGAGTGCTGCCCCAGTGGTAAGATGTACGATATGTTGCCTTTGCTTTGGTCTCGAGGTGGTGCTCCAGTTCTAAGATGTTCGATTTGTTGCCGTTGCTTTGGTCTCGAAGTGGTGCCCCAGTGCCAAGATGTACGATTTGTTGCTTTGTGTCGAAGTGGTCTTGAGGTGCTAACTCAATGCTAAGACGTAAGATATGTTGCCGTTGCGTTGGTCTTGAAGTGGTGCCCCCGCGGCTAAGATGTACGACTTGTTATAACTGCTTTGGTCTTGAGGTGGTGTCTCAATGCTAAGATGTACGATTTGTTGCCGCTGCTTTGGTCTTGCAGTGGTGCCCCAGTATCAAGATGCACGATTCGTTGCCGTTGCTTTGGTCTCGAAGTGGTGCCCTAGTGCTAAGAAGTACAATATGTTGCCGTTGCTTTGGTCTTGACTTGGTGCCGCCGTGCTAAGATGTACGGTTTGTTGCCGTTGCTTTGGTCTCGAAGTGGTGTCCCTGTTTTAACGAAGTAAGGTCTTTTGCCGTTTCTTTGGTCTCGAAGTGGTGCCCAATGCTAAGATAAACGATTTGATGCAGTTTGCTTCTTGAAGTGGTGCCCCATTTCTGCGATGTACGGGTGCTTCCGTTCTGCGATGTACGTTTTGTTGCTGTTGCTTTGGTCTCAAAGTAGTGCCCCAGTGCTTAGATGTACGATTTGTTGCCGCTACTTTGGTTTCGAAGTGGTGCCTCACTACGAAGATGTACACCGTTTACCGTTGGGTCTCCAAGTGGTGCCCCAGTGCGAAGAAGTACGATTTGTTGCCGTTACTGTGGTCTTGAAGTGATATGTACGATTTGTTGCCATTGCTTTGGTCCCGAAGTAGTGATGCAGTGCTAAGATGTACGGTTTGTTGCCGTTGCTCTGGTCTCGAAGTGGTGCCTCATCTTAGCAGATGAACGCTTGATTGCAGTTGCTTGCGCCTCGACTTGGCGCCCCAGTGCTAAGATGTACGATTTGTTGCTGTTGTTTTTGGTTTGAAGTGTTGCCGTTGCTTCGGTGTCGAAGTGCTGCCCTAGTGCTTAAGAGTACGATTTGTTACCGTTGCGTAGGTCTTGAAGTGCGGCCGCAGCGCTGAGATGTCCTTTTTTCGCCGTTGCCTAAGTTTCGAAGTTTTGCTCCAGTGCTAAGAAGTACGTTTTGCTACCATTGCTTCGGTCTCGAAGTGGTTCCCATTGCTCAGATGTACGGTTTGTTGCCTCTAGTTTGGTCTCGAAATTGTGCTCCCCTGCTAAGATGTATGGCTTGTTGCCGTTTCTTTGGTGTCGAAGTGGTGCCCCAGTGCCAAGATGAACGATTCGTTGCTTTCTTTGTCTCGAAGTGGTCTTGAAGTGCTAACTCAATGCTAAGACGTGCGAGTTGTTGCCGTTGCTTTGATCTTGAAGTGGTGCCCCCAAGGCTAAGATGTACGACTTGTTTCCCGCTGACTTGATCTTGAAATGGTGTGATCTCGAAATGGTGCCCCAACGGTTTCTTGCCAATGCTTCGGTCTCGAAGTGGTGCCCCAGTGCTAAGATGTGCGATTTGATATCGTTGCTTTGATCTCGAAATGGTATCCCAATACTAAGATAAACGATCTATTACCGTCGAATCAATGCCCCAATACCAAGATATACGATTTGTTGTCGTTATTTCGAACTCCACGTAGAATTCCAATTTCAAGATTCACGGTTCTCAACTTATCATTCCCACGACTAGTCGATATTATTAATTAATCAATACGATTCTATCATAGAGTCATATCTCGTATAATGCAAATTTTCGTAGGCGTCAATCGAAGTTGAAGAGATACAGCTTCACCACCACGGGCCCAAAAGCAGAACAAAGAAAAGCCAGCTATGAACCCTCGCCAAGGTGAAACTACACAACTACCCTGAGCTCTTGTTTTAAAGCTACGCGGGCAAGCTTGAGCCAAACATTGCTTGGCCAGTCATGTTTACTACGCTTTGCTAGACGACTAGAGGGAACAATGCTTTGCATGAGATTCCCAAACAATACAGAAGACTGCATAAGCAAACTGTGGTTGTCTTTTTAGAAGAACCTTTCCGCAAACAGACCCCGCCCCTGTCCCTTTGTCCCTCTTCCCGGAGCGTCGCCGCTGCACGGGAGGACGGAACCTGAGAACAGGGTGCCAAGACATCTTTTGTGCGGTATTCTTCTTCTCCCCCTTCAGACACGGGGTGTGCCTTGCAGCTTCCTCTTGTGAAACAGTCGCAGAGACAGTGGTGCTTCAAAGAGCCTTCATCTTCAAGAGCTCTAGCGCTGCGGGAAACTTTACAGGCGCAAGGGCTTTCGTGAAGATGTCTGCGCATTGCTTGTCTGTGGCTATGTAGCCAAGGTTTGTATGCTGGTCTTCGAAAACTTCGTATAATGAGGAAAGATTTATCCGATGAGTTTTGCTCACGTGTCTCAGCTTTGCGCTGTATCCGCTCTGCACTATCTGAATCACGGCAGAATTGTCTTGGTAACAGTGAAGGTCAACTTCGCGTTTGAACACGAGTTCTGCCAGTTCCTGCATAGGCATTTTTTCGCCAAAAAGGCCAGAGGCAAGCGAGATTATTTCTGCTTCTGTCGTGCTCCGTGATGTCGCTGTCTGCTTCTTGCTCGCCCAAGAAAGGGGCCACCATGAGTTAGGGCCCTCCATGACAAGAAGTGACCCCGATGTGCTTTTGGCGTGCTCTATCTCTGATGAATGATCCGCATCAGTATAGAGACCCAACCTTAGGTTATCTATACTGTCGGCGATTTTACATGTCAGACTGAGCTTCGGGGTGGAATGCAGGTGACACATTAGCTTGTACAGCTTCTTGTCATCTGCAAGACTCCAGCAGGTCACTTTCCGCGTCAAGTCTGATATGGGCTTCATCAAATCTGGTCTTGCCAAACGTGCACACCACAGGATTTTCATCAGGATTTTGCTGGCAGATTCCGCTAGAAGTCCTTTCTCTTCGAAGTCAGAAACCGGAATGTTCAAGTCGAAAGGTGTAGACGCTTCTTTCAACTTTCTCCCGGCTAACTGCTCGTAGAGCTCGCAGCAATTCTTGCAGAAATCACTCATGTCATGTTGGAGTGTGGTTGAATCAGCATCATGGGAGAGCAAATGCTTCCTTCCCAAGACCCTGTCCACTGGAGATGGTTCTTCAATCTCCAGGTGCTTTTGCAGCAGGTCCCAAAACCAGGCGTGATTCTTTGCAGGACCGCTAAGCAGGTTATCATCTACGTAAAGGCTGAGAAGCAGACCTAACTCTTCAAACCAGTACGTGGATTGCTGATTGTCCACATGTTTGCCTCCTAACATATGCATGATTTGTTTAAACCTGTAGTCCCAATGGTATCCGGATTCTGGGTGTCCGTACAAGGACTTCTGCAAACGAACGCATGGTCGTCTGACCCCCTTGAACTCCGGTGGGGTGAGCTCTGGTGGGAGCTCAACCCAAGTGGGAACTTTGGTCTGCAGATACGACTGCGTGTATGCTCTCACTACGTCAGATTGAGTAGTTTTGTGTCCCTTTAGGGCGCCGTATGCAAGGTTGAAGTTTATGCCCGTTAGGCCTGACGGATTCACCTTCAATTCCGGAAGTACGGCCAGGTTGTTGTTTTCGTCTCTTATATCGTCACCTCTAAACACGATTCTAGCTTTCAGTTTGCGAAGTTCTGGGGTCTCCCAATGCTTGATGGATAAGATTGTCATTACGCGGCCGATGTTTAGTGGAGTCTTGCTCCTCATCAGTTCCTCACGCGAAACAACCTCGTCGTACGACCAGGTGTCGTTTGACAAGAGCCCGGAGGCTTCTTTGTCAATTGCTTCCTGAGCGCCTGGATGTTTGTGCCAATCCTTCCTATCGATAAGCATATGAACTCCTGCTAAAATCTTTTCCTGTTCTGAAGAGAGCTCGTTGGGAAAATGCTCTGCAGTAGCTGCGGGTGCGGGTACAGTAGGCATGCAAGGAACATGGGCATCCAGCTTGTGACTATACAAGCTTTGTGCTATGCATCTGGCCATGCTTTCTGGGTAGAGGGCAGAGCTAGAAGCTATCTTGCCCGAGATCTCTGCATGCTTGAAACCTGACTCGTGGCAGCAGCGCTTTGCAGACAAGTTTTGTGCAAGCTTGAAGGAAGACGTAACTATTCTCCAAGACTTCTTCAACGGCTCTCCAAGGTGATTTTCCATGCCGAAAGCGCAGCCATCTGTAATCACTTCATACAGACCGTGACGGGCTATGAATTCCAATAGCAATGGTGTTTTCCAACCACTACAGTTCTTAGGCCACTCAAAGCTAATCGTACCCCCTTGACTTAGGACTTGCTCTGCAACCTTGATGAAGTTTTTCAACATTCTGATGCTTAAGCGCCTTTGGCCCTTCAGCTTCTTTCTGGAGCCGGGCTTGTCAAGGTTTTGGCTAGGGTGCTGCAAACACTTCCAAGGGGAGTTAGGAACGCTGCCCCAAAGGTCACAACCTGGAAATTGAGCAACAAGCACTCGCAATGATTCGCCTTGAACTGGGTCTGCCATGTTTGAATTCTTTGCCGTCATTCTGAAGTGATTGATGCCTAAACTCTCGTTCACTTGACCTAACATGGATTTTGGGTCGCAGCAGAACTCGAACATCGTTTCCGAACCATTTCCCTTCGAAGCACTCTTTCTTGGTGGTGCCTTTTGAGCGGCATCGCACACCTGTTGAGAAAGGGCCTTCAAAGCTTCTGGGTCCTCGGAAACGGACGACATGCAGTGAACAATCGAAGCGACAGCGTCGATACCTTTTGGTAGAGGCTTCAAGCGCTTCTGCTGGTCTGCGGCGTTTGAGATGGCTGCTCTAAGCTCCGCTTCTTCGGGTCTCAGCGGTTGTTTGGGGAAAAACCAAGTCACACCAGTCCAGCTTTTTGAGGAGATTCTACGGTTTGGACTGCCCTTTTGCCAATTGTCTTCGTAGACAGAAACTTTCCCCCTACATTTCCACTGCGTCTCGCGGCCTTCTGAAACCGTGTACATGTCAAAAGGGGGGTGTTTGGTCATTGGCGTAAACAGTCGTTTCCGAGGCCGAACGTGTACTCTTTTCCACGCCCCTTTTTGTTGATCGAAAGACCAGTAATCATGCTCATCTTGATTGGATCCGGAGCCTGCGGCTTCTCGGACCTGATCTGTCGGCAGATTTCTCTGGGCTGTTCGAGCAAAGGGTGCGGCAGGAATCGCATCTCCTTCAGCTGCAGGTGGCTTTTCATCCCTCTTTTCTTTGGCCTTTCTTTCCTCCTCTAAGAGCTTGGCCTTTCGTTCGTCTTCCAGAAGCTTGGCGAAACGGTCGTGACATGCATCCGAGTGCTTCACGCCTTCTGCTATGCGATCACATCCTCTACAACCCATCGTCTTGCCAAATCTGATCGCCCTTTCTAGAGTTACGTATGTTCTACGCTTTCTCACTTCAGGGTCTGGAGCCCCCTTTTCGAATGGAAGGCTCTCACCAGGTTCGATCTTTGGCAACGAAGGCTCTGGGCTTAAAGACGTGAGCTTCAAAGCATTGGCTTCGTAGAGCGGAAAGACAAAAGAATCAGGGACCACTAACTCTTTTTCGTGAACTTGCATTGGTCTCCCACAACCTTTCTGATTTGTTCGGAGACTTTCATAATCAAGCACGAGGTGGATGCCCCTGAAACGGAAGCCATGGTCGATGCGCCAACCACAGAAAATGCCCGGGAGCGTTCTGGGATCAAAAGGTTTGTAGTACACCAAGGCGCCCAAAGGAACTTTAAGCCCTTGAAAAGCATCCCCCTTGTTAGCCACTGCATAGCAAGTCTTCCCCTTTTTGAAGGCTTCGGAATCTTCCGTTTCGTTCGGGTGAACAGGAGCCTCTGTCGTGAACGCTTTCACCGTGCAAAAGTATTCTACCGAGCGAGGCCACAGGGCATGAGGAAATCCAGCTCTAAGGTGGACCGAACGTGTTCCTTCCTTTATGCTCCTAATGGCCCTTTCGAGCTTCGCATTGTGAAAAGCGTCGTTCGGAATACCCGGACTAGGTAACCACCCCAACTCCTTTACCGCGTCGGTCAACTCCGCGGCACAGTCGGACTTCACTTGGCAGAGGGCTTTGCCATGCGCTCGCGTCCCGCCGACGTGCCGCAAACAGGCAACGTTCGACTGAGTCGTACGGCGCGTCTGTGGATAAGCACCTAAGCAACCGCTAAACTCATCAAAGCAAATCAGACATGCCTGTTCACCTTCCGAACCCTTTGAAAGCTCATCATTTATAATGATGTGGTCCGTGCGAAGCTTGTGTCCGAAATGCAAAGGAGGGGTCTCTTCAGGGTCCACCTCTGCATGATGATAGCGGTGGGATCTGGAGGTCATTTTTGCCCCCCTGCATATGTCACAATACCTGTTTTTCGGAAAGTGTGTGATTTGATGTTCCGGGGACTTAGCAATGGCCTGCAACTTTTCCCTTAAGGAAGGAGTCCACGGATAAGCCTCCGCATCTTCTTCGTCCAACGGCTCGTCTTCTGGGATCTTTTCGGGTGCAACGCACTCTTCAAGCTCATCACCGTCTCCAAAATGGGCAACGGGAGCTCCTCTTGAAGATCCGTCTGAGCTTGCATCAGGGGGGTGAGTACCGCCTCTCCCTTTAGCGATTCTTCGTAACGCTACCGGCGCAGGATCACTTGAGGAACTGGCGGGCTCAAACGGTCCTGCGAAAGTCCCCGTGGTTTCTGCTTTTGCGGAAGCGGGCAAGCCTGAGCATGTTATTGATTCCTTCAGGATTGGGACGTTTTGCACAACCTTATCCGCATAGATCTTTGCGTTTTCGGGACAGTGGAACGTAACGTCCTGAAGACACTCAGGCTTGATGAAGAACGGCATTTGATCTGGGTCCTTAAGGGCATAAAACACGTTGTTTCCCGTGATTGACCCGTGTATCCTAATCGCATCGGATCCTGACCTAACCCCTCCACCTGTTGAAAACTTCAACTTTTGCGGTGCTGTATCAAACAATCCTTGCGCCTCTTCCGGCAAACTTGACTTTGAGATGAGGTTCCGGCCGGCACCTGAGTCAATCAAGTACTCCATGTCCGAAGTTTTCGGCACCAGGTCACCCAACAGTCCAGCACAAGCAGGAGGATTCGACAAAGGAGAGAAGCAAGAAGTTGCAGCCATCATTGTTGTGAAGAATCTGGTGAACGAAACACCTCTGGGGTTGAACGTCCGCGCATCACGGAAAGCGGTAGACTTGCAACGCCCTTTAAGGTTGGCTCGTTTGGTTGAATTACCCCTGCGAGCCGGGGCAGCGGATGCCTCACGGCCTAGCGCACACATCCCATCATCGACCTTGCTGACTGGTGCGTTCGACGCATCACAATCAGAAAGTGAAAGTGTCTGGGCGGAAGACGTGGGCAAGGAGCCAATGGCAACGGCTGCACCTGCCATCACGGATGCTACACCGGCTGATGTGGTTTTGACTCCTCGGGGTCGCGGGCCATCATACAGTCGGTTCCTATCATGCAGGTATTCGCACTTGTCGCCTGCTTTGCAGCAGTTGTATGCGTAATACATGCACGGTAGCTGTGCCTTTTCCTCTTTTGTTTTGGGTGTTCTTGGGGATTTCCCTTTGCCTTTACCTTTCGGTGGCGCTGGTGATGCGGGCGTTTCCGCCTCTGCATTTGCTCGCGCTTCCTTCTGCTTCTTCTCCTCTTGCTCTCGCTTTCTTTCTTCTCGCGTTGTTGTTTTTCTTTGTTTTTCTCTTTCTCCTTTTCCTTCTCCTTGTCCTTCTTTTCCTTCTCCTTCTGTGAATCCTCTTGCTTCCTGGTGGGATTTGGGGCGGCATTGACTCTAGCATTACTTGAAAGCGCTTTGTCGATGGCCATGGTGTTTTCGTCCAGTTGCGAAATCTCTATCACTTCACACATTTTCTGGTACAACCACCTCCATATTCTTTTGCTGGAGTTTGCGCTGGAATTGCGGTACCGATCAATGTGCAGTGACATCTTCGGGTGATTTTTCAATTGCTCATACATGAGACTGCGGATCCCAACATCCGTAGGGCGTTCATCGACCTCCAATGCCTCCAGTATGTAGTTGAACTTCTGGCGAAACTCATCAAGACCTTTAGCGTCACTCCCGGAGACGGTAAGCGACAACAAGTGATGCTGGGTAAGCGATGTGCCCCGATCTTTCTCCAATCGAAACTTTTGCAAAACCACCCACACTAAATGCCTGCCTTTGGGCTGCTTCCCCTTCTTCTGTGCACTTTCTTGGAGCGTCTGGAAATCCAGGGAGAACTTTGTGCCCTTAGCAAGCTCAAGCATGCGATGACCCAAGATTCGATCAAGGAGTGGGTAATCACCAGAATCCTCGAAGACTTCGGGATTTTCCGCCTTCAAACATCTAGACATCCATTCTAGGATCGGGGTCTCATCACCTTTCGCAAGCTTTGCAACGCTGCTGAACAACAGATTTTTGAAACCCCTGGCTTCGGCGGCACCTTTGGGGAAATGCGAAACCTTGAAAGAGTTGTAATCCTTAACTCTCATAAGTTTCTTCTCCTTCTTATAGATAGCCTCAACCGAAACTATGCTGGAAGACGAACTCGCAGAGGAAGAATCCGAACCCTTCTCCCTTTTGTCCTTGTTTGACCCCTCGGCGCTTGAGCTAGAGGAAGAACTTGAAGGGGGATCCGAAGGAGGATCTAAACCCACTAATCCCTTTGCAGTACTCTTAAGGCGCTTTTCTGATTGAGGGGGCGTAATCGCCGCGCTTCGGTTGGAGGGAGCGTTGCTGCCGGAGGGGGCGTTGCCGCCAACTCCTCCGGGACTTAAGGCTGCGATTGCGTTCATCATAGATGCGATTTGGGATGTTAGGGTATCGAGTTGGTGCTGCACATGAGGGTCAGTTTGAGGCCGTGGGGTATCGAGGGAAAAGAGCACGGGTGAACATTCTACGCCGAAATCACCCCCAGGCATCGCACTGCTCAATGCATTATCCCGGGTGCATTGCTGCATCACCGGATGTTCCGTGCCATTACTTGGTTGTTTGGTCTCTACTCTCTGGCTTTGCAGCTGTTGAATCACCTCCCTCTGCTGCTGAACCAAATCCTGAAGGCTATTCATCTGCTCTTGCATCCTATCGAAATCGGCTTTGGCTATGGTCAACAACTGTTGGCTTCTGTGCTGCGCGGCTTGGGCCTCCATGGTTGCTTGCCTAGCCTGAATAACCTCTTGCTCGGCTACAAACCTAGCTTGCACCACCTGCCTTTCAGCTTGGTTGAGCGCTTCTCGGGTTTGGATGTTGTGGGCTACGAGCTCTTGGTTAGCTCGGGTTGCAACCTCTACGGCCTGCCTTCTAGCCATGTCGATTTCGTATGCGGCTTGCTGAACCACTGCAATTGCCTGCGCCTGTACTTCAGGATCATTGGTTACCTGCACGACATTCTGCTGAATCCGAACATCTTGATTGAGGGCATTTGTTTGGTGAAGGTGCAAAGATTGGTCTCTTGATTGAACCGTTTGATGCTGATGCAAATGGGCTTCGTGACTCCGTATGTTAGGGGATCCCCCTTGAGACGTATCAGTCTGCATGCCCGTTTCGGGCGACCCCAGAAAGCTACTAAGGTGCTGAGGGGAATCAGGTTGGCCAGAACTGTGGTTTAGGAGCGTTACCGCTTCACTAACCCTTGGATCGACCACCACTCCAGGCAATCCTGAGTTCATGAGCCCCGACGAGTCACTTTCGGAAACCCCTGGGCTACCCCTGGAGGACCTTGACCTCGCTTCAAAGTCTGCCATCTTACTCCTTCCTCACCTCCCTTCTTAAGAAAGGATCGTTTTTCTCGCACTCGATCTCGTCGAGCACTTCGTGCAAGAACTTCCGCCAAGGAACCCCTTCCGGAGGCCAGTCGTGACGGCCTGGCACGTAGATGTGGCAACTTGGACACCCTGCCGAGTTCGCCTCAACAATGGTATGGCAATGATCGTCCACCAAAAAAGCCGAGGCCAAAGGAGCTAGCGATCTGATCGTAGCAACTTTTCCTCTGTGCCCGACTTTGTCTGGAGTGATAAGAACCTTGTCCAGCAATTCCTCGGAGTCCTGCGTGGAGTCAAGAGAGCGTAGCAAGCTTTGCAATGTGGCGTCGGCGTTCAAGTGGGATAACAGATAAATCTTGATTCTTTCAAATATCCGACGGCACTCGCGCAAAAACTGCACAGACTCAGGCGGAAGCTCGCGGCCCTGGATCGGCCTGGGTCGTGTCACGGATCTATCAAGACACTGGTGGAAGTCGATGAAGAGCGTCCCTGCTTCCGAAAGTCTCGGCCTCAAGATACGATTCTCCTCCACCCAATGTCCAGAATACCCAAAAATACGGACCAGCTCCGGCAGAAAGGCAAAAGTCGGCCTAAGTGCTTGAGGCGGAACCGGTGGCCTTGCTATACCTGATGAAGACGACGGTCGCGGAACAGGAGACCTCGATCTTGGTGATTCAGATTCGTCTAGGTCAACAAGAATAACTCCTGGACGCGATAACGAAGATGGCTCGCCCTCAGGCTGCTCAATATCCTCAGCCTCCGCGCGTTCACCTAAATCTGAATCTTCCGCTGCGCTCAAAGTCTGCAAAGAAGGATCAGTACGAGGTACGTTTTCCGGCCAAGGTTGGCGACCTGCAATAATATCGTGAAAGAAAGTGACACGTTGGCTCCCTCCTCTTCTACCACCTCGTTTCCAAGGGACGCTGCTCCAGAGCCACTCCGGGATGTCGTCTGGACGCTGAATGGTGGTAAGAGTAAACGCGCTCTCAAGAGACCAAAAGATATAAAGCCAATACGACTGATAACCAATCGAAGTTGAAGAGATATAACTTCACCACCACGGGCCCAAAAGCAGAACAAAGAAAAGCCAGCTATGAACCCTCGCAAAGGTGAAACTATACAACTACCCTGAGCCCTTGTTTCAAAGCTAGGCGAGCAAATTTGAGCCAAATATTATTTGGTCAGTCATATTTACTACGCTTTATTAGACGACTAGAGGGAATAATACTTTGCATGAGATTCCCAAACAATACAGAAGACTATATAAGCAAACTGTGGTTGTCTTTTTAGAAGAATCTTTTTGTAAAGAGACCCCGCCCCTGTCCCTTTGTCCCTCTTCCCGGAGCGTCGCCGCTGCACGGGAAGACGGAACCTGAGGACAGGGTTCCAAGATATCTTTTATGCGGTATTCTTCTTCTACGTCTATCCCAACTATTGATTTTTTTTACGTATTTTAAATTGACAATCTATTCCCCATCATTTGTTTCCCCTGCATTTGCTGTATTTTTCAGGATATGAGAAACTTTCGCAAAAAAAAATGATAAAAGATATTCGTCCATATATAGTCTCCCTTAAGTATCATTCCTGCATTTATTCCGCAATTTCGTAGCTCGCTTTTCTTTCACTTATTTGCATGCTTTAAAGCCCGTCCCTCAAAATCAGCCGCTCGAAATATATTTTGACTTGAAGCGTCCCAGAAATTATAAATCCGAGTTTAGACTTCGATTCTCGCCAATTATTTATCTCATCAAAAAATATTTATACGAGGCATCACGCCAATACTACATATATTTCCGAAAAATTCTTACTAATAAAATTAGATGAGAATTTGAAATTTAAACGCATCCTTTCGAATTCATCTTCCTAAAAATGCCGGAACTATTAATCCATTATTTTATATATAAAGACAAAGAAATATTAAGCAAAAAGTCATTCAAATAAAATCACGCGGCGTAAGCTTAGAATCATATATATTTCATAAATCAATCTACTAAGACCTTTCTTTAATAATAGAAATCAACAAAATTACAATCCGACTTTATCATAAAAATGAAATAGATTTATTTAAATATATTTATTATAAATCGATCCTAGAAAATATCATTCAACAAATTCAACCTAAAGATTTTAAATAATCGATAAAATTTTTCAAAACGAATACATCTATGAATTACAATCATATAAATACTAATATTCGACCATCCCGCTCCCATCAAGCAAGAATAAATACTACTCTTTCGTGCAGAAAATAATTTAAAATATCAACAACCAAATTACTGAAATCAAAATAACTTCGATACCCACATCTTCAAATTATATTCGTTTCAGAATCTTTCAAACCTAAACAGAAAGAACAACAAGAACCCAGAGCGCAGACCTACCCAAGAACACTTCACTTCATTCATATGAAAGAATCCGAAGCTTCAACTTTACTCAAGAAGAATATACAACCTACCTACCTAAAGAATGATAAGAAAATGAAAAAAAGATATATTGCAAATTTTTCATTTATTTAATTATCAGTTCTGACGAACGATGACCCCTAGAATTCCTAGAAGGGCGTCATTAATTTCATCTTATCTAAGGAATCATAAGAATACCATAATAATCAATTCAAAAATAAAAAAATTCAATAAGTTGAAATTATCAGAACATGAACTGGGCAAAATGCAGATGCAATGACCTTCAAGCCGTCGAACTGCCAGCAGCTTTTCACACAAGCATGCAATTATGCGTATTCTGGGCTCTGGCGCAGGTGTAGATACTGCGGCGCAAGACAAGGGATCCTGCATCTGGTCCTTTCGCATTACCACTGTGTCTGACACCATCACCGTCTGGTTCCCCAGCGGCCCCAGCGCGTCCTCCACTTGATTGGCACGATAGTCGTGTGGCAGCTTGAAAATCTTGCGCATCCCGAAACCAAAGTCTGCGGCGTTCCAGGCAGTGTGTCCGCGGTGTGGGGCAAGGGTGGGGTGGGGCCTCCTTGGATTGAGCAACCCATTGAACGATCGCCAAAAGGCTGCATGTCCACCCCGCCCCCACGGCCTGACCACGGAGAAAGCGGAATACGGAATGTGCAGTTGCCTCCTCAAATGCGCCAGGCACCTTGGCAAGCAGCCGGACGGCCGCATGGGCTGGTACGACGCATTTGTCACACTTCGCGCGCTTGTCCATGTCGACCGAGGGAGCATTGATCACAATGCCGCGCTTCTCACACTGATTGGCGCCGCATTGACATGTCACCACTCGCCCACTTGGCACGAAGGCACTTATTGACTTGACTGGCAAATGGAGACGCGTGCTGCCTTCAAAAAACATTCGTGGGCTCTTGCCGTAGGCGGCCTTGCTGCCCTTGGCATCGGAGGCCTGTCAAGCAAGCAGCATCAAGAGAAGCACTACATCTCTGTGCCATGTCTGTGCACCGAATCTTGCTAGCGCCATTTGTGTGCGTCAAAAGAAAGCGCGACGAAATGGACGGCGAGCCTCCGTGCCAACGGATGCCACGGAAAGGATGCCTTCGAAAGCATCCACGGCATCTGTGGGTGCCGTGACCTTGCCCATTGTCTTCACGCTTCTATATGCCATCCATTCCTTCAACCTCTGGGCCAAGAAACCATCACGAGCAACAGTCTCGTTGAGAATCTGAAACTGCAACCGCGAAACAGCCTCCACCACACCAGCATCGATATGAGGTTGACAACCATCACGCGAATGATCCTCGCATTACGGCGCTTGCGTCATCGGACGCCATAAGATTTAAAGTCCAGAAAAAGCTTTGCAGCGACCTAGCCTGGTGTGCGGGGTAAACCGAAGCAGCCCTCTGTGCAGACCGTAGGTGCCCGCGCGCCAAAAACTCCTCTTTGAACACCATGCTTTACAAGATCTTGGTTCGGCAAACTTGTAAGGTGCCCTAAACTCTAAACCCCAGGCAAGCCTAAACCTTTAACCTTATGGCTTCTAGCGCCTGAAACCCTGAAGCCTAAACCTGCGTCACCTTCGTCTTCTTACCCGAGCCCTGTCCTGGCTCCGCACGCCCCTACCAGTCGATTGACCAATGCGTGCCTCCAAAAACTGCTTAGAGATCAAACCCCCAGCCCGAACCCTATCGACTCTATAGACCCTCAAATGCTGGGAGGAAAGTAGCACGGCAGCCTCAAACTGAGACTCAACCGACAAAACCAACAAAGCTTTGCTGACGTGTCCTCAAACTCGGGAGCCCATTTTCGCCGTATCCGCCCTTCTGCGCAATCGATCCTTACACCATCGAGGCAGGGACATGAGACAGACATGAACAAAAAGCGATGTCTCAGGCAAGTGCTGGAGGCAGATTTCAGGTCCTGCACAGATGCCAACTTCCAAATTCAACATTTCGCGGATGTGACAAGTGGCTCATGCGCTCCTCACTTCGAAAGCACGATCTCATGTTCTTCCTTGTGTTCCTCCTCGCTTTCTAACGCTCTACAAGCCCTCAACACCTTGATGCCCGACATCCACAGAATGCCACAGAGGCCAGCGCGTAGCAGTCGCAGAAGCCGCAAGAGCAGCTGCAAATTCTGGTGAAGAGCTCATCGCAGCTCATCCCGCTTCTGGATGAGCAGCTTCTTCTTCTTGATCGCCTGGGCTACAGAAACTCTTCCAAAGCAACAATCAACAACAATGTGTCTGAATACGCTGTCCTCCTTGAGAACATCATTGAACGAATCCAGGACGTTCACCAACGAATCCAAGTTAACGCCTCAGGATTTCTCTTATTCCAATTGCAGTCATTGCCGTGGTACGTCCAACGCTCGCGGTGCGGCGACAGCCCCGTTATGCCACGTTCTATGAACAAAGCAGCAGTACATAGCACCCAGAAGCCTGCACCTGGTAACAGATTCAATAGATTCAGCCCGGGCGCTCGTCATGGCACAGCTTGGGGCACAACTCAACAACGGGCAAGCTGGAGTACTTAATGGCTGGCACTGCTGGGAACAGCCAAGTATGCGGCTGATGCGCGCAAAAAAAGAACTGCCACATCAAGAACAGTTAGAACTAGACGGGGTACGCGGTATGAATGTGCATCTGCTCCCAAGCCAGCCTAGCTGCTCTGGCGACTGGTTCCAATATAAAGGCTATATGGGTATATACCTAGGGGTCCTTTTTAGGGGTCCGTCCTTTTACCTTTTGACCCTACATAGATCCCTACTTAAAGGCTCATGGGACTTAGTAAGTAGGTTATAATTGGGGTTATAAGTCCCGTAAGTGGGGTTATCCTAATTATAACCTACTTAGAACCTGAAACTCATATTTTTTCTTTATAAGATTCATTAGGTGGGGTGTTGAAGCAAATCTTGACTATTCATAAGATCTAGGGAAGGGATACTAAAGAAAATCCTATTTCCTTGCGCGACTTAGTGGGTGAGATAGGCTCGAGCAGCAGGACGTCCCCAGCCCGGGGAAGCCCCACGCCCGAATTCGGGCTTGGCGAGCCGAAGTGCTCTGCGCAAGCAGAAAACACTTTTCACTTGGTGCTTTTTCTTAAGTTAGGTGGAACAAAAGTTAGCCATGGCAACGGCGCCGACGCCCGAGCACGCCATGGCCCCCACTTTGCGCACTGACTCGCCGGCAGCTCCTCCTGGTATTTCGCAACAAACGGCGGCAATTGAAGCAACGGAAGCTACCCCGGCCCCAGTTCTTCTCCAAGAGCATATCATTGGCCCCGGCCTTGCTCTTAAGGCGTATGAGAACGAAATCTACATGCTCTGCTCCCCTGCTGACCAGCAACATATCACCAAACCGATGTATGATAGCCTCCTAGTGAGCCACCAGCAAAAGCAAGCCTCACAGATCTCCATGGCCTCTTCCCTTACAGGGCTCCGGACCCCTCCCTCCTTAGCGAAAACCGAAGATGATGAACCCCCTTCTTGGGGCGACATGGACCCAGAACTAGTGAGAGAACTTAAGGAAGATCCCGCAAAGCTACAGGTATTCATGGCCACCAGGCGCCCTAGAAAAGAGGCCCGATTGGACCCCACCTTAGGACAATTCTCTATGCCCAGTGATGTGCCCCTCCCTCCTGCAGCCTCAAGCTCCACCCAAGCCCCGGAAATCAACAAAGACAGCATCAAGGAAGCATTCGAGGAATACCATGATACATTCGTCTCCCCGACAATTGCTCAGCTCCAGGACCATGTGGTAGGTACCCTCACCCCTCAAATTCGATCCCTAGAGAAGAAAAATACCCTTCTCAAAACCAGCTTGTCATCGGTAGAATCAGAGATGCATAAAAGAACAGTTGTGATAGATCAGGTTCCTCCTTTCTGCAATAAGAAAACCATTGACGACAATATGTGGTATCTCCTTAATATGGCGCAGCTAGACAAAACCGATGTGCAATCAATCTCCAACCATTTGCTCACCAGCTCCACTAGTTTTATCAGAATTGTCTTTCTCACCGAAGAAATGGTAAAGCAATTTTTTCAATCCTTTAGGCAGTCCAAGCGCTACTTCCGCAATCGAGACCCGAAAAGTTATTCTCCTGATACCCCGATAAAAGTCGAGCGCGACATCTCCCTTACAGAGCGCTCTATGCGCCAACCTTTATATGCACTCACAGATGCATTAACGAAGGCTGTCACGGCGGATGGCGCTCCTTTGATCGATCAATACTTAAAAACAGATTACAATTCACTTCCGTTATTTCGGCCAGATTCAGATGAATTGGTTGCAATGGTTTGCTACATTCCTACGGGAGACACTCAGGTCTGCAATATTGCAATTCAGCCCCAGCACAGAACTCATGTTTTGGATGTTTTCCCGCGCATGTTTCAGGAGCGCATGTGCTCTACTTTGCGTTTCCTGCAAACCTATCAGGCCGCAGCCCGACATAGAACCACCCCACTCCGATTTCACTACTCACAGACCCAAGACCTCTCCAATGTTTCCCCCCTGCAAGCTGTGCAGTACTTTCCGTATGAGATATACCGTGATATACCCACTTGAGCTTACACCCGACCTCCTTCGAACACTATCCCAGAACCCGGCCCACTTACTTTCAAGCATGAGCGGAATTCAACCCCATTGTTCACCAGGCAATGCAGGACCAAGGTCTAGATTACTCTTCATACGGTAAGGCAGGCAGAAGCAAATCCTCAGACAAAGGTAGCAGCAAAGGCAAGCACAACAAAGGTGAAGGAAAACAGCAGGACAAAGGCTCTAAAGGCAAAAATTATCAGCAATCATCTTGGAGAAACTACTCGGAATACCAAAGCAATAGACAGTGTCATTCTGAACCCCAGGCTCCCGTCGACCCATGGACCACTACTCCAGATCCTTGGCAACAGCCTCCACGAAGTGGGTTGGATTACTCCAGCGGCTCGGCAGTTCTGACTCCTTGTCCAGGTTGTATGTGCCTCCTAGGGACTAACTTTGACTGCTCCCACTGCTTAGGAGCGGAAGGCCTCAACCATTTACAGTCACTTAACGATACCAATAGGTTCAATAGGTACGCACATCTTGTTGCATTCTCACAACCGATTACCCCAGGTTTCCCATGCCCTCTTACGGTAGGCCCAAAAACTTGAGAATGTAGAGCAGCTAAGAGCATCTTTGGTACCGGCGATTGTTCAGGATGTATTGCATGGACTCAATGGGCAGCTAGGTATTACGGGCCCAAAAGCATTGAAACACTCAACCCCGTAAGGCACGCATTGTACCTAGGGTATGAAAGAACCATGCTACACGCAATGGTAGAACATCCGGACTATTTCGTTGACTCCTTGGCCCATTCCCTGAAGAGCATCAATTACCGTTTTACCTTACCAGATGCCTTTACAGACTGGTTCACCTCAGTTATTTGCCCCGATCCTCAGGACCCCCTGGCCCAGAGTACAAACGGAGTTCTCTATGCCCGCTGACAAATACTTTCTTAAACCGGACCCTTGGTTCGACAATTTGGGCTATGAAATCAAGGCTTGCAACATTCAGCAAATCAGTTACCTCTTACTTTCGGTATACTGTGCTTATGAGGCACTCCCGGCAGAATTATATCTAACACAGACCTCCCTGACCCCAGCCTACAACCGGAACTGGAAATCACATATGATTCCTTGGTTTCCTTAGACTTTATCCCCTGGCCCTCCGCGGTACGACGCTCCTATGCCTTTGCTTTGCTCACATTCAACATTGACCCAGTATGGTCCCAGGAAGCTATCGAACAGGTCGCTTATAGTCTCCTCCCGGACCCCGATGAGTACCTCACTGACCACTTTGCGGACCTCTATCTCCAAGCCCTACAAGAAGACCCAGGTCTAGAAGCTATGTTTCAATTCTCCGCCCCCGTACACCACAGAACCTCTTAAGAAACTAGCCGGAGCAGGCAGTTGCTTTTTCGACACCCTGTACTACCAAGTAGGTGCTCTCCACAAACTACAGACAACGAAGAAGCAGGATTTACCGGCGCCTAATGACCCTCTAGGCACCTTGTACGATCTCATTGTAGCTAGGGCCCCAGATATGTCGGAAATAAGCTCCAACAAATCTCACTTGTTAGAAAGGCACTGGAACAACAAAGGTAACAGTATGGAGGCATTGTCTCTTCTGTTGATGGAACGCGGTGACCACGCACTCATTGTCACACAAGCATGGTTAGTGATGCAACTCCGATACAGTAAAGAGCCTTACCCCTGGAAAGCCCAATGGTTAACACCCTGACTATCTCTGCCGCCCAGGTGCATGTCGCTGATCTCCCCCACAGCATCTTCATTACCCAACCAGAAGCGACCGCTAAATTCTCTTTGCCTCCATATGTTACCCTAAATCCCAAACCCCCTCCAGGAGGTAACCTACCAACAAATCCATCGACGACGATCACTTACGTTACCAAGACTTACGTTACCAAGGTGCCAAAGCGGCACCAGACGACGGTACGATGGACGACCACTTACGTTACCAATCACTTACGTTATGCCCATTGGGGCGCGAGTTTCACCGTAGCCGGTAGAAGCGGTAGTTTAGGACACTGTGAGGGGGCTACCAAGGCAGTGAACGCTGTGAGGGCACCTCGCGTTTTCTCACAAGTAGCCTCAGAGCTTCACCTTTTCCAGGGTGTACGCCTCGAGCTAGGGTTTTTTGGGTTTTCTAGTGCTCAGGAGACCTCTGCACTCGTCTCACCCCACGTCTCACTCCTCGACAGCCCCGCTCAGCACCGAGCGAGTGAGTTTTTCAGGTTTTGCTGGTGGCCTAAATAAGGTAATGCACGCCCTTAATGGTAACATCACGTACCCTGCGGCAAAGCCAAAGCCGCACGGCTCTCTATGGGGAGACTCTTTCTATCTGCCCAATGGCATGACGGTCTTTCGATATGCCTTTTACGGCAAAGATTCCCTTTGGCTGCACGCCACCAGAAGAGGGTATTATTTTGAGTTAGAGACGACGCGCAGCGACTCCAAAACCCTATATGGGCACGTCCTGAGAGCGGTGGCCTCCAAGAAAGGCGAGCCGGGAAGCCGCTGGCCTCCTTTGCAGCAGTATAAAAATCAGCTTGGACCTATCAACAGTAGCAAAAAGATAAGCTCAACGCAATATTGCCA